AAATGTAAATCAGGGATTATTGTTGCACTCTGGATTTGATTTGTTGGGATGGAAGTGGTGATCGTAGTTTAGTTTGTTATTGTACTAATTTTTCAGAACAGTTTCCTAGTGTGCCAGGTGGTAGTTCTCCCAGAGTCCCCAAGACCCTTCCATTTGACTTTTCCATGTATGTATTGGCTTGTAAATGAATGTTCAGATATGTCATGTAAGTTCATTTGATTAACAAAAGCAAATATTGACTCTAATAAAGAAATGCTCATAGACTGACATACTGAAGAAATTTGATTTCCTAACCTATTGGACCCTCCTTGGCTTGGGGAGGAGAGTCAAAGGTGTGGATTTTAAAAATGATTTTTGACTGTGAACTCTACTTAGAAATATCTCTGCCTCTTGATTCCTTCCAGAATTCTTCCCTTCCCCTCCGCCATTTCTCTAAGGCCACTCTTCATTACTACCTGGCAGTCAGTCGGTAGCTTCTGTTATTCTCTGTGGCTGCTAGTGCTCTTGGCCTACTACACCCTTGACCTTTGAGCAACTGGTCTTGACTGTTTTTCTCCTAGCATTCAGTGAGTGACTGGGTTGCTTTCATGGTGCTTCAGATTAGCCCTACAGATATGAAAAGGCAGTCTTTTTACCCTTAAAAGCTTGCTATTCTTCTAAAAGGATAAAAGTATTTCTTTGGGTTATCAGTTTTCTCTTAGGGAATTTGCAAAGAGCTTTCCAGGACCAGATGATAGCCCTGGAGTGGCATTGTCCATTGTTCTACTTGGAAGTTTTGCTTTGTGTTAAGGCATGCCATGGAGTTGAACTGAAACTCAGAGCCTCAGGGCCATTGACTTTCTCCTGAGTCTTGGTTCCCTGGATATTACTGGAGGAGTTGGAGGTGCTTGTCCTTCTTGTGCAATACCTTTTTGCACAAGTGAGCAAATGTACAAACTTTGCAGGTAGAAAACTGAGTTAGAGGCTTGGCTCTGCTGCCTGCTACCTTTGTGACCTTAAGCAAGTTGCTTCTGTTTTCCCATATGTAAAGTGCCTGTAAAACTACCTCTTTCTTAATGTTGCTTCAACATTTAATGTGAGTATGGTATTCTCAGTATAGTGCTGGTACATAATAAAGTGTTTGTTAATTGTTGGCTACAGCTATTACGTATATATGCATGTTTTTTAAATCTCATTATTCTGATCACTTCCCATGCTTTATCATCTGCACCAAATTTCTCTAATACCAGGCATGCATAGGTGAGATATAATAATGCTTTACTCTCTGGGGGCATCATTCTGAGAATTGTAACATCTTTTGTGTGATTCTGCTTCCCTATCACCCCAGTGCTGGTACCACCATTTTTTCTTGTGAAAAAGTCACAATGAAAATATAATAAACAAATGAGTCTATATTGCAAGTTCACTTTGCATTTTAATTCAATTGAGTATCTGAGGTAGGACAATTTATTGTTTGTTGAAAGTTTAATTTTCAATTGTGAGAAATAATGGCCTTAGAAAATTTTGAAGGAAAATTAATTCTATAATTCTTTGTTGAATCCCAAGAACACCGAGGCATTGTTCTTACCCTCAAATGGATTAAAATCTGGACAAATGAGACAAATGCAGACAAGAAAGTCAAGATTGTTCATGGCACCCAAACATGAAGTGTACGTGTTAAGATAAATTAAGCAAAGGTTAATTTCTAGCTTGGTATAATTTTAAAGCAGGTGGGCCTTGGACTCAGTCCTTGAAAGATGTGTAGGATTGGATTTGGTGCAAATTCTCAGGAAGAGCTTTCTGAAAAAGTGGGAGCATGTTAATGGTAGGAATGCCTACTACAGATGAAGTGACAGGAAGCCTCTGACAGGTCATCCCTCTACTCCTGTCCCATAGCCAACTCTGCCTGTGTTTATCCCCCCAGCTCTCCCATCCCCCCGCCCTCCACCCAGTCTCCAAGTGTTTGCAGGGACACTGTTTGTCTTTTTTATGCAATATTACACTCTCTTTCCCCACCTCAGTTCTTCTGTAAAGCAACACACAGGTTCCCTATGCGCTCTCTAGCCTGTTGTTTCTGAAACATGCTCAAAAAACAGCTTTAAAAAAAAAAAAGGTTAGTATTGCAGAGGATTGTTAGTAGGAAGAACAAAAAGAATAACAAAAATGCTCTTAACTTGGCTGTGCCAGATTACTGTTTGAATTGGACACTCATGTGACTTGTATCTTTGAGACACAGTTGTGGGAGTCTTTTCTAGTTCTGGCCTCACCTCTCCAGCCCCTCTCTACAGCAAACCAAGAGACTTGGACTGAAGTTCTTTGGCTGGGCACCACTTCCCACTATGCTATGATTCTCAGTTCTTTTTAGGGTTACCTTCCTGATCCTTTCTGGTGTTTTAGCTTCCCTTGTTGCCTCAGGTTGTACTGTTCTTCACCTGTGTTCTTCAGCTGGTCCCAATCCTCCTGGGGCCTAGAGTCTTAGCCCAGCTTGCCTGAGGGCCACAGTTGGCCTCTAAAGAGTCTTTCTTCTTCATATCATGAAACACTGCCACAGCCACTGCTCCTTTTCTCCTTTGCAGGAAGGTCTCTTGGGCCTCATATTTTAAAGTACTCTTTGGTTCAGGACTTGATAGCATCGTGAGACCTTGTTAATAAATGTCATCAACCCATTTGTTTTATTTTGTAGATATTTTTATAGCATTTTGAAAGTCTCAGGCACATTCTGAGTGCTTTAGAAAATTAATTCATTTAATCCAGAGGGAAATTACCAACAATATGTAAATTCCCACTGATTTTAGCCCTCTAAATTTGATTTCTTATGCTTCAGACTTTTGCCCCCAGTAGATCCTTTCATTAATTTCTGTTTAATTTGGAGACATTTCTGATATTAGTCTTTTGAGAAAGTACTTTATGTTCTTAGTCTTTGCTCAGATTACTAGCTGGTCCCAGTTTCAGAATTTAATACCTAATATGCATAAAATGCACTGATTCCATTAAGAAAAAAAGGAACTTTCTTTTAATTAGATAAAGCTTTGTGAAACAGAAGCCTTTTTTAAAAATTATCTTAAGTGGAAAAAAAAAAAACCAAAACTATAGGTCAACCAAAACCTTCTAACCCATGTATTGAAATGTAACTAAATGCCTATAAATATAAGTTGCATATCGTTATAGTAGGATATAAATGGTTTAAAATTATCTTTCTGATCATCTGACAATTAATATGATTTTTAACACGGATTCTATGTATGTGCAGTGTGTACTTGTTGATATTGGCAATGTCTGGGCAGCATGTTACCTTTGTTGACATTCAGACATTTTCAAAATGTTAATCCACTGGCTTTAGTCATCTAACAATATGACTTGAGACTTTTCTCAAACCCTATTTTGTTAAAAATGTATTAATTTGGGTAGGGAAATACATATTTTTCTTATATAAACACCCCATACCCCAAAGAAAAACTCATTGAGATATATATATATATATATATATATATATATATATATATATATATATATATACTCTGTGAAGTCTGGATATTAAAATATAAGAGATATTCATAAATCCAAAAGATGTATGACTGTGCTTATAATTGTTATAAAATTAAAACATAATTTAAAGGTTTAGGAAGATAAATTTTAAAAGCCAAATGAATGGATTTTACATTTCTCCATGACCTGGAATGATCTGTGATATTATTCCTCAGAGCAGACAAGAATTACTAACAATTATGTGAGCTAAAGTAAAGGGATAGTTTGAGTATATACATTCCCAAATATGATTTAAGTGATTCAACTTTATTTTCATTGAGTTTCTTTTTTTTTTATGTTCAAATTCTTATGATCCTGTGTTTTCTATCTTATCCTGATCTGTTAAGTTATAAATTTATTTGGGTTGAGGGGGAGAAACAGTTTAAAAGCACTTTTAAAAACATTGCCTTGCTTTTCCAACCTCCAATCATTTTTAATAGTCACCTGTTCTTGAGGATGTTTTTATTTTTTAAATGCAGTTGCTTCATACTGTAATTGATAGGTTATTCCGATAACTGGAACATTTGTGGATCTGTTTCTATTGATTCTTACTTTTGGTGGCTTGTTTTCTTATCTGTTTGGGGTGTGTATGGCTTCTTGTTTTAACCTTTTCCCTTGTGATCTCCTCAGTATCCTTAAAAATTATTCCTGGGGATTATTTGACCCCTAGATGAAAGTGTCTTCTCCAGGGAGTTATGTTTTCTTCTGCCACAGACCTGTGGGAACTATTAGTCTGAGGCCATTCTGCACCAGAATCAGAGCATAGGGTCCTGGGGCCACTCAGGTTAGGGGATCCCAGCGAGCAAATCCAGGAGGGCTAGCTTGTGGACAGTTTTTCAGAAACAAGTTCTTTTCCTCTTCCCTTTTCCCTTCCCTACTCTTTTGCTTAATGGGCAAGGTGAACCTCCCTGCCGTTCCAAAGAACAGGGCAGGATTGCTTCTGGTTTACCTTCATACTGAGGAGCAGGGATCCCAGCTTGCTGGGACTTAGGTGTCTTGTTGTCCTACTTCTCTTTTTTGGTTTTCCCTGGTTATTTTTTACTACTGTGGGATTCTTGTTTTTAAGGAACCCTGCCCCCCAATAGAATCAATCCAAATGATCCAGCCCATTGTTAGGAGCATGGAAATCTTCCTTATTTGATCGGTAACTGTGAGGTTTGTGTGATGGATATACGATTGGGTTGCTTTAAGGGATGAGGGAACTAAGACTGAGAGAGGTGTCTTGATTTAGGATCATGATAAGTGGCAAAGCTTGGAAAGGACCTCCTGAGAACAAATCTGTTTTTCATTCCACTCCCAAAACTACCTTTGAGTTGTTTTCTTCTGTGTATTCTTATTCTTACAATTTTGAATGAAACAGGCCTATATTGAGAAGGTTTTTAAAAAATATGTAATACTTTTCCAAAATTGATAAGGATTATATTGGTGTAACTGTTTCCAGGTAGATATAGTATTTTAAGTGGAAATTAATAATTGCAATCTCTTTTATTTTTCAGCTGAAGTGAGTAGCGAATATAGTATGGACAAGGCGATGGTTGAATTTGCTATAATGGATCGAGACCTAAACCATTATGTTAAGGCTGTTCAATCTACAATAAATCATGTAAGTGTATGCCACTCACTTTGTTGTTTTTGATTATAGCTCCTGTGACCTAAAAATAGAAACACAAAATAAGAATTCTTTCCTAACCTTTAATATTTCCTTATCCTTATTGTATCAACTATTAATTTCCTCTTAACCAGGAAATCTCATAGAATAGGAATCTTACATTATTTTCCCAGCTAGGCCATGGAGGTTAATTAGCATATTAAATTCAACTTAGATTGTCTTGCATTTTTTTTAATGTAAACCCTCTTTGAATGTGAGATTTTTAACTTTTAAAACGTTTTGTTAAAACAGCTTGTTTTTATTGCTATATTTGCTTAGACATATAATTTAGACCAGGTTTAGTTACTCATTAGCTGTAGCTAATATACCACCTATTGCAAAATTGTTATAATCAGATAATATGGAAAAGTTTTAGAGCAAGTGTAAAATAAAGAAGGTTGGCATTTCATTTTTTCCAGAAGCCAAACTTATCTTTGTTGACTCCAGCTGTCACAGGAACTGCACATAAGGCAGTTAAGGTGGGAACATAGCAACATCCTTTTTAGTACTACTGTGTTGAGTAAGAAATGAGCAATATGATTGCAGTAATGTTTCTGAGAAGCCCTTTGTCCTCTGAACCATGGAAACTCCCTGTTGAACTGATTTCATATACCTGTGTAATACGGTGTCTTGTACTTCTGTTTTTTTTTATTTGCCTTTTCTTACTTATAACTATGGAAAAAACCCAGATATTTAACAAAATCAGCTACTGTTCAGTGCAAGATAAATGTTTCAACTTTGTTTACTACATATGTTGGTGGAAGTAAGCGTTATATGGTTATATGACATTTTTTTTCCCTGAATGGCTAGTATTTATTCAATGTGATATTTAAGTAACTTTTATAATATCTGTTTCTATCAAAGCAATAAACTCATTCAGCTTGTAGAATTCTAATGTTTCAGGTCACTGTGACTTTTAGTCCTAGTTCTCTGAATATTTCTCCCATAGAAAAATATAAAATGACATTCTGTCGACATCATCTTTGATGATGAATAACAAAGCACTAAGACTAGAGGTTTTTTAATTATAGCTAAGTTCTAGAATCAGCCAGTTCCCACTCTAAGATACCTGATTGCACAGGTCTGGAGCCAGATTGGGGCACTAGTATATTTTAGAAACTTCATTTTGTTTCCAAGGTTGAAAACCACCAACTTAAAAGAATATGGCAAGTTTGTAGAATAAATTTTGTTTTCTGCCAAAGAGTATTAAGTCTATTATATGGCTCAATCTTGGTTTGATTTAAAAAAAAAAAAAAGAGACTTGGGAGTCAAAGAACTTAATGTCAATTTTTTCTCTACTAACCTTTAAGATTCACTGATAGTGAAGGTAGTTTTGCAAGAAGAATTGAACTCTTCCCCTATCAAGTAACTGAGTCACTCATAAAAGAAAAGTTAGACTCAAAAAATCCCCCACCCTCACCCACATTCAGCATTTCTTTCATTTTGAGGTTTCATCCTATTACTCTTACCTTCCTCAACAGGGAAGACTGTACTTTTGAGTTTTATCCTACTTTTTAGCCCTTATTTCATTCTAGCCTGTGGAGGAATGGATTTAAAGATTCTAATGCTTCTCAGAAGGTCCCTTGTCTTTCATAAGAGGAGAAAACATGTTTCATTTCCTTTCCTGTTACCAAATCCTATCTATAAGAGCTCAATACAAGACCCAGAGTAATAAGCATCATTTTATGAGGTCTCTAAGACCTGAAACCATTAAGGACTCAGTAGGAATGTAACCACTATTTTGATGGATTTATTTGATATGACTCTCCATATTCTAAGTTATGGCTATTCCTATCTTCTTTTCATGGGGTATCAAGAATGAATAGCAGCTTGAGATGGACCCAGGGTGGTATCTTTCTTTAGAAAGAGCAGTGGTGTAGGAATCAGAAACACTTCAAGCCTTAGTTCTTCTACTTTCTAAGTTAGGAGCCTTGCTCACAAAACTTAATTTCTTGGAACCTCATGTTCTTCATCTATAAAATCCTTGGCCTCCCTATTTCACAAGATTATTATGTGAATCAGATTAGATAATGTCTATCAAACTACTTTGGCATTGATAAAATTTGATGGAGCTATTAGATATTATGTTATTGCAAACACAGATTTCCAAACAGAATTCCTTGGAAAGGTAGAACAAACTCTTTCTAAAAACAGATGCTTTGTTTTGCTCACTTTATTTCATGGTGCTTTTCTTGGCTTTGATATGTTATATGGACTTTAGGAATCTAAGCTCTTAAAGTCACAGTATACGGTGTTTGTGGTCTCTAGAATGAAGAATGGTTTTAAAGTCCAGCAATGAAGAAAGAAAGCAGATAATGGGAGTCCACATGAGTCCCATTTAACCTTCTGCTCTTTCAGACTTGGGAACTATAGTACTTCCATTATAGTAGCATTTGACCAAATTCTGATCCAACTTCTTTTTTAATTATCAGTGTTTGTTTTATTGTTTATGCAAGCATTTTTCTTCTACTGTCACAACCAAGTTTTGAAGATTGTGCGTCTCCTAACAGGTTTTGGAAGCTGACTTTGGAACCTTAGAAATATGGATTAACTTACCACCAAGTCCCTGAGAAGTCCCTTTGGCAGTTAGCAGAGGATCCCAGGTTGCCTTCCTTTTTTTTTTTTTTTTTTGAGAAAATAGAGCTACCATATACTATACTGCCTGTGAGTTTAATTTGAAATTGGTATTTATTTCAGTGCTTTGAAATTTTAAAAATGAAAAAATATTCAGACTGGTTTCCAGCTGACCTGTTTGTAAAGGGAATATTATACAATGAGCACTAAAACAAAATCCCCAAATAGCCTCTAAAGACATTTATAAAAACTGGATATATTGATTATCTAGCTGTCAGACCTCTAAAAACCAAATCGGAGACAGTTCTATATGAACTGTTTGGAGACTTTTCAGTTGTAAGACCAAACAGGTAATGAAAGTGTTTTGAAAGCTAGAAATGGTACACAGATATTATAATACATCTCTTCTTCCTCTTCCTCCTCTTCCTCCTACTTGTTGTTTTGTAGTACTGGTAAATGAACCCGGGGCATTTTACCACTGAGCTACATCCCCAACCCTTTTTCTTTTTTATTTTGAGACAAAGTCTTGCTAAATTGCTGAAGTTGGCTTTGAACTAGCAATCCTCCTGCTTCAGCCCCCCCCCCCCCCCCCCCCGTAGCTAGGATTATAGGCATTTCCCACGGCTCCTGGACACTACTACTTCTGTCACTTACTGTAGGGAAAAATTTTTCTTAGCTTTTTGTTGAGAGTGGTGATTTTCTTGACATTAGACTTCTGACAGTGTGATGTTCATTGCCTAGCTTTCCAAGCTTCAACTGTTTGAGTACATTGAAGGAACATTATTGGCTGGCTTTTTGTTCCCAAATGTTTATTGAATAAATATTTACTAGATACTTATGTGCCAAGCACTACTAGGTGCAGGAAGTAAGTCATTAGCAAGACCCATATAACCTTCACCTTCAGGATGTCCAAAGCCTAGAATAGGAGCCAAACATTTAACAAAGGGCAATACAGATGTTATATAAGTACCGTTGTTGTATGTTCTACAAGGAGAAAATAAGGCATTCAGGGACAGTTAATAACTTAAGGGTGTGATATCTCTTGGAGTGGTTGGGAGGCACCTTCCTGGGGAAGTGATAGTTAGGATGAACATGAAATGAGCCTCAACGTGGGTGTAACTTCTTTATATGACTTTTGCAGGAAATGGAAGCACCTTATTTCTGATTGTCTTGATGTCTGAGTTTCAGAGTGCCTTGACCAACCCAAAGACTGAATTTGAGAAAATTAGGGCAGGGAAGGCCTACTTTTATATACAGAAAGTTAAAGTATTAAATAGAGTAGTTGAGTAACCTACCTAACGTTGGTCAATGATTCATCCATTAACAGATTTTTAAGTGCTTACTACTACGTGCCAGGTGCTGTAGCTGTTGGTACGAATCATGGCATTGGTGGGTTTAAGAATAATTTCATTACTGGTATTCCTCTTCTCAAGCAGGGATTATTCTTTCTGAAATGAGATATTTTAGTAAGTATTGAGTATATCCATCAGTAGTCCTAATTGTTTCTGATTTTTTTATCTATGAATGTTTGCAACTAAACCTGTAGATTATCATGTGGCCTTCAGATTCCTGAGGGTAGGCATGGAGGATGGGTGCCAGTTTAGTTCAAGAAATCCTCAGATCTGTCTTATTTTTTAAAATAAGAAATGCTTAAAAAGAAAAAAAAAAGTCCAATAACTGTTACAGAGGTAGTCCTTGCAGTTTTCTATAATCTTAATTATGATAGTAAAAAAGGATTGGAACCATGAAGTTAAATGAGAAATGGCCTAATGGGTTCAGATTAGTGTCACAAATTATTACCAATGATAAGATGTACATCCTCTTGTATTTTTAATGTGATATAGTTCAAGGGTTTATAAAAAAAATAAAGCTTGATATTCACATTATGCCATGGCACATTTTTTTCATGATCCTTAATTTAAAATTTTTAAATCAAACAAATTTTAAACTTAAATGACTTTACCTATGCATTGTTCTTTTAGCATGTGCTGCTCCAGCCTGTTATTGGAAAGCCTAGGGCATAAATGTTTTTTTCACCCTCCTCAAAACCCTCTTCTCTGCTTCTTGTATCTTATAGATTATGTAAGATTTTAGAGCATTTAAATCAGATTGCAGACACATAGTTGTTTTTGTTTTTTAAGTCAGTGTCTTTATAACAGTTTTTCCAAGAAGCCTGGTGAGAGAGAATATTTCCCATCTTAATTGGACCAGTGAAGTGCTCCACGGGCCCATTTGTGTTTGTCTCTGTTGAGTTTGTAATCTCTTCATGGTGTGCCCCCGTACCTTCTATGGTTTTTATTCCATAGGCTCAGATGAGCATAGTATCTGCCTTTTAAAACTAATGTGTTGAGAATTAAAAGAGTAGAAATATACTTCATATA